TTATGATATTTCTGTGAGGCTTTGCTCCCAGCAGTGTCACTAACCCCAAACACACCCACAGGGGAAGGTCTTTACCTGCTGCTAAAGGTGCCAGGGGTCAGAGGAGAGGGCAGCATGCCAGGTTTTTCCTGGAATTTCATTTATCCCCTCTTGGATCAAGGAGAGAGAATTTGACTCCTCTCTTTTCAGGAGTCCCAGAAAATGATGGAAGCAGCTGCTGCGAATTCCGTTCAGCTGAAGCTGGGCAAGACCAGCAGGGTGGACGCCCCAAGGCCCAGCAGTGACAGGTAAAGCACCCCCAGGTCAGGACCCCCACAGGGTCAGTGGGAAGTGCCTGGCTCAGGTTTCTCCACTTGCAGATTTATGTGTCACTTGCAGTCCTCTTAGCAGGAAAATCCCAATTTTCTGGCAATTTAGGAGGTGTTGGCAAAGCTCTGATCCCACACAGTGGCTGCATAATTCCTGATTTATCCCAAAACTACATCACCAGTGGCTTTCTGAGATCTGGGAACCCTCCTGCTCCCACCTGAGAGGTCACAGGGGGAAACACCAGCTGTGGGTCTGCAGCTCCAGGGCTTGATTCCCAGAATTCCTCATCCACCCAAACCATCCTCACCATCTGAGTTCCAGTTTTCAGGGCCCTCCTGTTCCTCTGGCTGCTGCCAGTGCTCGTGGTGGGATCAGACCCATCCTCATGGAACACCGTGTGGAATGTTCCTTGCAGGGCTGATCCTTCCGAGATCAACATTTCGGACGAGATGTCCAAGACCACGGTGTGGAAGGCTCTGACCATGAACACAGAAACGCTCTGAATCCGGGAGGAAAGAGGTAAAGGCTCAGCTGTGGCCTGACCTTGTGGGGCAGCACATCCCCACGGCCTCCCTGCGCTCTGGCTGGTGCTGCCCAGCAAAGGGCACATTCCTGGGGTGGCAGCAGGACCCCGGACACCGGCTCCTCTCTGCAGGGAAGTGTGGGAGCTACAGCTGGAATCCTGGGATCAGTTTGGGACTTTACACCCAGACAGGCATTGAGGAGCTGGGGGCATGTCCAGAGTTTGGAATGGAGCTGGGAAAGGGCTGGAGCAGGAGGAGGAGGGTCTGGAGAACTCCTGAGGGAGCTGGGGGGCTCAGCCTGGAGCAGAGGAGGCTCGGGGGGGACCTTCTGGCTCTGCACAGCTCCCCGACAGGAGGGGACAGCCAGGGTGGGTCAGGCTCTGCTCCCAGGGAACAGGGACAGGAGGAGAGGGAAAGGCATCAGGTTGACCAGGGAAGGTTCAGGTTGGATACTGGGAAAAATTCCTTCGTAGAAAGGTTGTCCAAGCCCTGGCACAGCTGCCCAGGGCAGGGGTGGAGTCATCATCCCGGGAAGAGTTCCAAAAACTTGGATGTGGCACTCAGGGACATGGCCAGTGGTGAACATGGTGGTCAATGGTTGGATCTGATCATCTTAAACACCTTTTCCAACATGAACAATTCCATGGATCTCTTATTCTGGGTCCTCCACTGATGATACTCTCCCTCTTTCCCTCTTTTTCCCCCATTCCCATGTTTAGGCGCCTCGACGCCGCCGTCGAGGAGCAGGAATGTGACTCAGGGATGTGCCAAGGCAGACACGGAGGAGCGGCTCATTTCCCACCTGAGGGGTCCCATAAAGCCATGCAGAGTTTCCCGTTCCCTGGGGGTGCTGCATCCCGGGGGATCCGTGTTGTCCAGCCTCGTGTGTCCGTGTGTGTGTTGTGCAGTGGTGGAGGCTCCGCTACCGCTTCCCATCAGTTCTATTTTTTTAATCTCGAATTCCTCCTCTCCTTCCTCTTTCTTTTTTTTTTTCTTTTTTTTTTCCCCCCCCAAATATAAACTCTGAATGTACAAAACCATTCCCTGCTCGATCTGACGACTTCTCCTTCCTCACAGCCGGGGTTTTGGTCTGGTTTGGGATCCTCCTGTGGATAACTTCTGTCTCTTACTGGTACAAGAGGGATGCTCTCCATGTTGGGACAGTGCTGGGAGCATCTCATAAATTGGGATGAGCTACCACTGAGCACTCAGGATAAGACAGGAAAAGCAGTTGCTCCCTATGCTCCATTTTCCCATCTTTTTTGAGGATTCTTTTTGGGCTCTGCCACCAGCCTGAAAGTGTTAAAATACAGGAATGTCCCTTTTTAGTCAGCTCTAAAATGACCATAAGGGAAGCTTAAAAACTTTGGTGGTGGGATTTTGGATTTTGGTGGTGGGAGCGGCCAGGTGAGATGTGAAACTCTGCACTCCCAGGACCCCTGCCCCTGTTCTTCCACTTCCCTTCCTGTCACCTCCCTGGACTCTGGTTTTACTTCACCCCTGTCCTTGCAAAGCTCCTTCTGAGCCGCCAGGGAATTGGGAAGTGCCTTTTCCTCCTCCTTTTCCCTGCTGCCTTGCAGGGAGAGGCTGGCAAGCCGTGAAGGTCCTGAAGCTCTTTCTGGGGGCTCGGGGGGCTCTGGTGTCCCCCTGGAATGTGTGGCTGAGTCTGGGGGCCATGGAGCTGGGAAGGGAGGACATTCCAGAGGATGAGGTGCTCCCACAGCCCTCAGGAGGTTTGGAACATGCTCCAGCCTCTTGGAACTTGCAGCTGGGACAGGGGCATGACCACTCCTGCCATCAGCTCATCCCACCCATCTGGGAGCCTCTTCCTGCATGGAATCACCCCAAAAGGACAATGGCTGGGGAAAAGAAGAGATGGAATTGCTCTGTAAGGATGGAAGTTCCACCTCCCCAGGCAGGGCAAAGCTCCCATCATATCTGAGGGATGGGGATTCGGGGAAATTGAATCCTGCCAGCCTGGGATGGGCAGTGGCAGAGCAGGAAAAGCTGCCTTGGGCCGTCAGGAAGAAGAGGAGGCTGAAAAACAAAGTAAGTTCTGGAGAAAGTGGAAGTAGGGATCAGTGGGATACTATGCTTGGACAATTTTGGTTCTCCTGTTTTCTTCTCTGGAAGCAGAGAGACGGGGCTGGAATCAACTTCCAGGGGGAAGGAAGGCAGGGAGGAAGGGAGGAACCCATGGACAGTTCATTATTCTGGGAGGATTAAATATTTCCTTGTGCAGGGGAAAACAAAAAATGGTTGAAAAGGGAAAACCTTCCACAAACAGTTCCTGGAGCTGCTTTAGGGATAAACCCAAAATATCTTTGGAATGACCCAGAAAGTAAAATCTGACCTCAGTCCCCTCCCGCTTCCCCCCTTGGCCCTTCCAGACTATTCCCAAAAGGAAATCCATGGGAATGGGGATGACAAAGGCTGTAAACAAGCAGTTAATCAAACAGGGAATAAATGAGGTGCTGACACTTTCTTTGTGTTGTTTTTGTGCACTCTGTGAAAATTCTGGAGTTGTTTCTCTTTCTGAGAGGCTGAAATAATTTTATTTATTTTATCCCAAGGGAGTTTGGGGATGGTCTAGGCTAGTAATAAAACCAAGGGGGGGAATTTTTAATTTTTTAAAAAATCTAAATTTAATTTTATTTTTTAAATTATATTTTTAAAATTAATATATTTTTAATATAAAATTATTTTATTTAAAAATTATTCTACTTTTATGTTATTTTTTCAAATTATTTAATTTTTAAACTATTCTATTTTAGAAGTATTTTCTAATTATTCTATTTTTATTTTTTGCAAATTATTTTATCTTAAAATTAGTCTACTTTATAAATTATTTTGTTTTCTAATTACATATTTTAAATTTCATTTAATTTATTTCTCAGTGGGAGTAGCTGTGTCACAGGGGGGTAGCCCCTGTGTCAGCCCTGGCTGTGCTGGGACTCCAGGAATGCCCTGGAGAGGTGAAATTCCCCATCCAGAGCTGTTCCCTTTGCTGCCTTTCTGGGCTTCTTTTGGGCCCTCTTGTCCTGTAATTAATTAGAACTAAATTAACTCCAAAGAGGTTCTTTGGATCCAGGTTAAATTGGCATAATTTAGCACCAAAAAAGGAATTACTGCAGGGTTTTTTCCTAAACTTCCCTCCAGTTTCTTTTGGCCCTGGTCTGTGGGGTCAGGTGGGAACATCCTGGTTATTCCTTCCATCCGAAACTTGAGGAATTGAGGGAAAAATGAAGCACCAAGTGGGGAGTCAGAGGCTCTAAATCCCCTGGGACTGTGCGGGATCCTGTGGGATGCTTGGGAAGGCTGGAGACATCAGGAACCAGTACAGGACCGAGGAAAGGTTTTATTGGCATTTAGGGAAACGGTAGGGAAAAGGAAGGCAGAGAAATGCAGGTTTGAGGGATGGCTGATCCATGGGGGCGGATTTCAGGCGGAGGTGCCTGGGGAACACGGGATGTGTCCAGGAGCTGTGTGATGGATGAATCCTTCCCGTGGAGCTCCCGATCCCAGCTGGCGAGGGAGGGGTCCAACATTCCCGCATGGATGCGGCTGGAAAGCTGCTGCCTGGATTTGCCATTAATTGTACCTTAAAAACAAACCCCAAAGATCTGCAGGGGATGGAAACTCCTGCTAAAATCAGGAGCTGGGAAAGGGCAGTGAGGGTTCCCTCGCTCAAAGAGGAGCTGCCCCTTTGGAATGGCTGAAACAGGGAAAGCTCCCAGAAATGCCAATGATCCCAGCAAGGTAACACTGGAACGAGGAGGAAAATGTGAGGACAAATCACAGAGAGGACAAAACAGCCCCTTCCCATCCCAGAGTTCCAATCCCACCCCAAATGCCTCCATTTTCCTGACCTTATTACAAGAGACCAGAGGATCCCCAGGAGCCATTGGGCATCAGAAAAAAGGGGTCCAGCTCTGCCTTGGTACCAGATCCATGGATTTAATGGAATCATCGTTTGGGTTGGGAGGGACCTCAAAGCTCATCTCATTCCACCCATTCCCATGGGACGACACCTTCCACTATCCCAGGCTGCTCCAACCTGGCCCTGGACACTTCCAGGGATGGGGCAGTCACAGTTTCTCTGGGAAATCCATTCCAGGGCCTCCCCACACTCAGAGGGAGGAATTCCTTCCCAATATCCCACCTATCCCTGCCCTCTGCAGTGGAAGCCAGTCCCTGTATCCTGGCACTGCTCCAGGTCCCTCTCCAGCTCCCCATCAGGATCAGGGCTGGGGTGGTGGGTGGTTGTTTCCCAGCACAATCCCTCCCTGTTCCAGGCACCTCTTTGTGTTGATGAGCCAATGCACGAAGTCCTTGGCCTTCATCCTGTCCAGGTACCGCGTGAAGTCACTCGTGAAGGTCCCCTCTGAGTGTCGCTTGATGTGGGTCGGGAAGCTCTGGGAGTTCTGGGGTCCGAACAACTCCCACCTGCTCAGGGTGGGAGGAGAAGGGAGGAAAATGGGGTTAAAGGGACACCCCAGCAGAATCTTCCCACAGGAGCTGTCCAGGGCACGGCTGTGCCCTCCCAGCCCTGTCCCTGTGCAGAGCAGCCCCCAGAAAAGATGGAAAAGTGCACAGGAATAAATCTGGAATGTTTAATATGATTTGTACAAATCAAACACACAGTTCTTGTTTCATTTTCTGGAGATTTGCCAGGCCTGACCTGGGTTTTCCTGTTTTTTTTTCCCCAGTCCAGTACATCCAGTGTCCTGTCCCAAATCATTTCCCGCTGTCCTGCTCAGTGGATCCCAATCTCCACCCTGGTCCCTGTTTCCCACATCAGAGCAGGAACGTGGAGCTGCTCCAAGGTTTGGATCATCCTCCTGCAGCTCCAGGATGATTTTGGGATTCACCACAGAGAATTCCCAAAGGACTTCGTGCCATGGGATCACCAGCCCAGAGGGGGCTCAGCCCCAGCCTGGCTGGCTCCGGGCAGGGTATCCCTGCTCTGACCCAGTCAGGAAATCCCTGGATTCCCTACAGGGGAATGTCCATGCCTGGGCTGTGGGGAGCCAGGAGTTTGTTTGGATCCATACAAAATAAACAGGAACACTGGAATAGGGGGAGCTGAGAATGGAGAGGGATAAGCTGCTCCCACAGCCCTGCTCCACCCAGCCCCCGTACCTGGACAGGTCCTCCAAGTCCTCGGGAGACACCTGCCATCCGGCCGGGATGAGCACAGCAAACACCAGCCCGGACAGGTAGAGCCACCGCACCATCTCAACTCCTGGGGAGGCAGAAATCCAGGGAGATGTCCTGGCTGCAATTCCCACTGAGCCCCCAAGCCCTGTGGGAAGCCCTGGCAGCACAGCCCGGGATGGATCCGATGGGACAGCCCCTTCCCAGGTGTGGGCAGGATTGGGATGGGTGCGTGTGAAAAATCCTGTCCTCGCCATTCCCTGCTGGCACATTCCAGGCGCTTCAGCACGGCCACACAGAAAGACACCCAAAGATAAAATTAATTGCAATGAACTTTATTCCAAAGCTCCCTTTTCTATCTGGGGTGACATTTCTATCCTGCAATAATCACCACAGTGCTGGAGAACTTTCCCATGCTGGGAAATGCACCTTCCACATGAACAGGTTTATTCGCATTTTACATTCCTTATTTTTCTGGATACCTCAGAAATTCTGTGGGAATAAAATGCTGCCTCCCACCCTTTATTTGCCAAAAATCAGACTTCTGTTGCCCATCCCCAAATGCTTTCCTCATCTGGTTTGATTCCTTGGAAGACTGAGAGAAGGAAGGGAGGAAGATGCACCTACCTTGGGCAGAGAGCTGCTCCCTCCACACCAGATCTGATTTTCCTCCTTCGAGCCGATTCTGGCTGAACTCTTCTCTTTCCTGGTGCTTTTAAGCTCATCTGGAGGATGCCCAGAGCTGACAGGTGGGTCACGGGTATCCTGCTTTTCCTTGGATGGGTCACTGTGAATCATTACAGCATTTCTGGAGTGGGGCTGCTGCAGAAAACATCGTTACTGGCGGATTTTCCAACTGACGCCTTCAATGAAGTTTTTTTTTTTAATTGTTGTAGCTGTTTCTCTTATATTTGTTTTTTTCCCCACTTTTTGGACCAAAGCAGTGACCTATGGGTTTCCTCCTCTCAGGGGATATGGCCTCTTGCTGGCACAGCGTGTCCTACATGGATTCCTCTGCCCACGGGTTCCCCTTTCCAGCACCTTCACTGGAGCTAAGAAACAAGAAGGAAAAAAGAACTGAGGTGTAAAACATGGATTTGTGTCTCCAAACGCTTCCTGCTGCATCCTGCCATGTGAAATTCCTGGTGCAGCTCCTCTGCCAGGCAGATTCCACTTGTGATCCAAGCCTGGTGAGGTTCCCTGAGTCCAGACCTGAAATGTTCTCTGTGGTTTATGGGATTTGAGGGTGAAATGAGGCCCCACAAGGAGCTGCAGTTCTGAATCCCTGTGGGACATCCAGGCTCAGCCCAGGAGTCCTGGAACACCTGCACTCACTGGTTCATAGTTTTACAAGTGTCCCATAGGAACTGGGCTCATTTGTTTTAAATCCTTGAATCCAGCAAAGGGAAAATGAAAAAGGAGAAAAGGAAAACTGAGGGCAACCCTAAAGAGCAGGGTCTGGTCCTGGAGGAGGGTGGGGGCTCCCAGGTGGGCCCAGGGCAGAGCCTGAAGAGCTTCTCCCCACCTGGGGGTCAAGTGGGCTCCTGAGGGCTCCACATTCCCAGTGTGGATGGCAGGAGATGTTTTCAGGGCAGTTTTGAGTTCTCTGGGGAGTTTCCAGCCAAGGAAGAATGCCCAGGATTTGGTGCTGGGGGTCTGAGCGTGCCTTTTCTCCCAGGCAGTGGGAGACAAGAGCCAGTCCTGGGGAGCTGGGCCTTGTCTCTCCCACCAGGAGACACGGGGGCTCCAGGTCCGGAATTCTCCGCCGCTTTCTGTGCTCTCCCCCTGGGACCTTTCTGCTTGTGCCTGGGTAATTATTATCATTCCACTGCCAGGAGTTCTGTAATTACTGCCACTGTCAAAATAAGGTCAGTGTTCAGAGGACACTCATCCTGAGGAGTCTTTAATGAGGGCCTCTAACGGCCTTTTGAGGAAGCCTGACATCACACGAGGGAGGGGGACATTAATTAGCTGAATTCTGGGAGGAGAAGGCCAGTTCTCCTGCCCATCACTCGGGTGGGATGTTTGTTACTAATGCCACCAAATTAGCTCATGATGTCACTGTTTGCAATGTCCCCCTGGGCCGGGGAGCCACGGCGCTGCCTGCGGAGGTGGCAGCTCAGGGAGGGGAGATTCAGCTCAGCCCATGCTCCTCATGTGGTTTTCTCACCGTGGCTCCCAGTGCTGGAGTGGCCTCAGGAAATGTCCCATGGGACCCTTCCTGCACGGTGCCTGGGTGATTTTCTGCAGCGCTTTGGGACGTGATGCTCTCCCCATTCTCAGCAAACCCAGTCATGTGTCCTTTTCCAGCTGGATGGAGTTGCTGGTGGCTCTCCCAGGCTACAGGAGCACAATGGGCAGGATCCTCAGCTTTGGGATCCTGCAGAGCTGAATTCATCCCAGTTCAGGACTTTGAGAGGTTTTTATGGACAGCAGGTGGCAGCGTTTGTCTGTCTGTCCTCTGCCCATCCTTCCTCTGCCCATCCTTCCACCCCTGCTCTTCATCATCCTCGCCCCCTCCTCCTCCCTTCTCCGAGGCTCCCAGAACTCCTGTCCTGCCCCTCCAAGAGCTGCAGTGATTCCCTCTCCTTGGAGGTGGGAGACCCATGGCTGGGGGTTCTGTTGGTGACATCACAGTGACACCACAACCGAATGGGGATGGCTTGGGGTCAAACTCTGGCTCTGGGAGCATCCCTGGAGAAGCAGCTTTGAGGCTACTGGAGCATCCTGCGCTGATGGAACAGGGACCGAAAAAAAAGCTGGTGAGGGAAAACTCTGGGAATATGTCCAGAATCCACATCCATCAAATCTAGAGAAGCTCATCCATTCCTCATCCAGCCCTTTTCCTATTTTTCCCCAGGAGCTCTCATGAGGATGAACTGATCTCCAGGTGTGGGGAGAGGCAGGACGAGCCAAGGCTGCTCCCATGGAGATGGTGGGACATGGTCCTGCTGGGACTGTCTAAAATCAGTAAACCTGTTCTTAAATTTAATCCAGATTGCTGAGGTTGGGTCAGACCAGGGGATGCTTCATTTTGAAGGGATTTATGGCTAACAGGGACGAATGAAGGCTTTGGCTTCACCTTGGCTCCTCTGAGAGACCTTTGCTGCCCACAGAGCCCAGCCCAGGATCCAACTCGGGGCAGGGACTGGAAAATGTCCCCATCTGTCCCCCGGCTGCAGTTCTGAGCCCGCATTTCAGTGCTTTTCACTCCCATTTTCCTCATGATGGAGTTTGTGGTCTCCTCCTCCCCACTACAGCTGGAGGTGCAGCAGTGGCCAAGGCAAAACTGGTGAAGACAAACCTCCTTGGGTCACTGGTTCCACCTGGAAACTCCCTGGTGACGCTGAGTCTCAGCATTTTTTGGGCTGGTTTTTTCTGTTTTGCTTTGCAGGTATTGAAGAGCCAAGGGAGGGGCCATTGTAGAGCGAAACTCTGCGTTCTCACCAGGTATTTTGGCAGCTCTGAAGGGCTGGGGATTATTTCCTCTCCCCTTTGTGCCTGTTTTTAGGCAGGAAACATCTTGGAGCTGATGTCCCACAGGCCTGGTGCCAGGGAGGAGTAGTGGGTTGGGAAGCTGAGATGGTGCCAGGAGTGGGACCTGATGGGTTGAGCTGTGAGAAGTCGAAAGTTGGGCCCTTCCCAAAACCCAGCTCAGGCTGATCCCTGTGGTGGATCCCCATTTCTGGTGAATTTATGACTCTTCTGAGATTGCTGGTGACAAATTGGGTGAGGTCCCTCTCATCCCCAGCTCCCAGCACTCTTCTGTCCCCAAGGGCTTTCCCTGAGCTCTGAATGTCCATGATCCCTGGACACTGGGCATGGACACAGAGCCACTGGGGGCCAAGGACAGGCTTTCTCCATGGGAAACTTGGACGTGAGCCTGGAGGGGGCAGTGGTTTCATCAGTGGGGGTTGGAGCAGAAACCAGTTTGAGCCCATTGCTGGGCTGGGAGATGGGTGAGAAAATGGGATTTGCATGTGGAACGCTTTGGGGTCGAGCATGGGGTTCTCACCACTGGGATCTGGACACCTGTGGGTCCCCAGCTGCGGTGACACCTCCAGTGGCGTCCCTGATCATCCTCATGACTGGAAGCTGGTCTTCAGGGTCATCTGGAGGTCAGGCTGGAGGCGAAGTCCTCTCACCTGGGTGAACGGGAACATTTCACTTTTTCTGGCTGAACCCACTCCTTGGCCTTGGTAGGTGGGGCAGGGCATGGGACACACCCGGCTGAGCCCTCACTCCCTGAAAACCTGGGGTCTGAGCCCTCCATGGTGGTTTCTCCTGCTCCCTGGACCTCCTTGGTGATCCCTATTTCTCCCTGGTTCTCCTGGGTGATCCCTCCTGCTCCCTGACCCTCCCAGCTGCTCCTTCACTCCCAATCTGCTCCCAGCGCAATTCCCTACAGTGAAAGGTGGCTTCTCTTTCCTTTATGGAGGAAAGACTTTTTTGAGTACTATTGGATGTTTTTGGGGAACTCTTGGGTGCTCTGAGCAGCCTCAGGCCCTCAGGGCCCAGCACCAGTGGTTGCTGGTTCATACTGGGACCCTACAGGAGCTGAACTGGGGCAGCTCTGGGCATCACCGGCTGTGAGCACTGGTTTTGGGTGGCTGTGGGGTGGTTTTGGGTGGCTGTGGGGTGGTTTTGCATGGCTGTGGGATGTTTTTGTGTGCTTGTGAATATTTTTGGGTGGCTGTGGATGGTTTGGGAAGATGTGGGATATTTTTAGGAGGCTGTGGGATGCTTTTGGTGGCTGAGGGATGGTTTGGGGAGCTGTGGGGTGGTCTTGGCCCAGCCCCTCGGTGGTTACACACCTGCAACCTCACAACCGCTGATCTCAGGGCAGGGTGGGGTTAATTTCCCCTCTTTATCTGAGACAGAGACAGATGGTGGTTAATGGTTTATCTTGGTTAAAGGTTTATTTCTGCTAAATGTTCTGGCTTTGAATGTGGAAAAACATCAGGGTTTTGTTTCCCTGACTCTTCTCCCTGCCCATAATTCTGTGGAAATCTTAGAGACCCTCCCGGGGAAACTTCCCCACGTGCAGGAGCAAAAAATCTTCAGTGGTGTCTGGAGTGAATGTGGCCAAGGTTTTAATCCCCCGCTCTTACAGACTTGGGGATGATTAAACAATACAAATACTCCTAACTCTGAAAAACAAAAACCCCTATTAGGGCCCTTTTTGGCTGTTTGCAGAGCTTTTAGCTGGGCATCAATCACCGGTAACGGCTGATGAAACCTGATGGGGCCATAAATCTGCCCTGCTTTGCATTCAAATGCAGCAATTAATCCTGGGGGGGTGTGGCTGCAATTACATGACAAATTGTGCCTCCAGATTCACTTGCCTGCTTGGACAGATGCCGCCCGTATTTGCTCAGCCGCCGAGGCCAAGCCTCAGCTTCTGCTCTTCCCCTGGGGATGGGAACGAAGAGCCCCGGGAGCTGCAGCTGCAGCATGAGGATCCTTTGGCCTCAAATCTTTCACCTGGAGCTGGGAAATTCGGCTTTTTGGCCGCATTGGATTGTCTGAGCCCTCCTTTTCCAAAGGTCGTAGAATCCCGGAATCATCAAAGCTGGGGGAAAAACCTCCAAAATCATCAGTCCCCCACCATGAGCAGCATTAACCCGGGTCCCCAAGGGCCACATTCCCATGGTTTTGGACACTTTCAGGGGTGGTGACTCCACCACTGCCCTGGTGCCAGGGCTGGACTACTTTTAAAATTTCCCAATATCCCACCTAAACTTCCCCAGGCACTTTATTCTTATCCCTGCTCCCTGGGAGCAGAGCCTGAGCCTGAGCCAGCTGCTCCCTCCTGTCAGGGAGTTGTGCAGAGACGGGAGGTTCCCCCTGAGCCTCCTTTTCTCCAGGCTGAGCCCCCCAGGTTCCTCGGGAGACCCTTCCCTGGTGCTTCAGCCCCTTCCCCAGCACCATTCCCGGCTCTAGACTCACTCCAGCCCCTCGGGGTCTTTCTTGCTGTGAGTGGCCCCAGTTTGAGCTCAGAATTCAGATTCTGGCCCAGCACAGGGTGCAGGATTCAATCCTGGCCATCCTCCGACCTCGGGCTGGAGGATCTGGGACTCCCAGCTGGGGCAGGAGCTGCCTCCACCTGAGACACCCCCAGCAGTGCCTGATGTGGCCCCTTTGGGCTGGTTTTGAGACTAAAACTGGTCCTAAACAGCAATGGCCCAAGCTGAAAGAGTGCAGTGCTGGATTTGCTGCTGGATCTTGCTCCCGCTGATCCTGGTCCTGCAGGATGGCTCATCCTGGGAAGGCTCATCCATGGATGCTCTGGGGTGGCTGCTCCCTGCCCTGGGAAGGCTCATCCATGGATGCTCTGGGGTGGCTGCTCCCTGCCCTGGGAAGGCTCTGGTTAACGACACCCAGACGTTGTTTTGCTGCAAAGCCTGGGGGATTGGAGTGCTGCTGGCACGGAGGGGAGTTCTCAGGTACACTGGTGTTTCCATGGAAAGAAAGGAGCGTTTGGGGGTTGGATGGCGCAGGAGGGCTGAGCAGACTCCAGCACAGCTCTGGTTGCTGTGGGGATGCTGCTGCAGAGGGAGAGCCAAGCTCTGCCGAGCCCGGCTCTGTAGTTGAGCTCAAAATCCGAATGCAACGTGGCAAAAATCCAGGACAAAGCAGTGGAGATGCAAGCCCTGATGTCAGCCGTGGGATAAGGTTGTGTTTGCACACCCAACATGCTTTTATCCACCGATTAACTGTTCCTACAGGGCTCCTTTGCGAAACACATGAGGGTTTTCTGTTCCAAGAGATAAGAAAACAAGCTTGGTTTTATATCCTTTTCCTGTGAGGGTGATAACAGCTTTCAGAATTCCTGTGGACTCTGATCTCCAAATGGGGGGCTCCCGGTGAGAAAACAATTGGCTGTTGGGATAAGTAGCTTAAAAAATAAGGAATTTTTATAAAAAGAATGGGGAAAGGGCTCATTTTCTTTGGCTGCTTGAAAGGAAACCAACTGCCCTGTCCCCAGAGAATGCAACTCCTGGGAAAGAGGGAAAAATCCCTGTTAGTAAAAGCTGAAAGATTTGTTGGGGAAGAGGAATTTATTTATTTTTTTCTTTCTGATTTTTTAGAAAAGGCTGATTGTGCCAGACTTTCAAGTTTATTTTCATCCCCATTTTTAATCCAGGCTGCACAAGAGGGCTTTATCCCAACCTGCAGCTGCACCTTGCTCGTGGGCACAGGCACTCCTGTGGCCTTTGCCAAGCAGGATTAATGTCAAGTGGCGGAGCCAGGCCTAGATCCTGGAGGCCTCATGCCAGGGGATTTATTTGGTTTATTTTGCTGGTTCGTGGTGATTTTTCAGGGGTTGTTTCTGCCATGGGTCAGGTCCCAGTTCTCCTGAGTTGTTCTGTGCATGGAGAGGGCCCTTGAGGTCTTGCCTTCCTTTTCCTGCACATCCTGGGGCTGGCTGGAGGCAGCGAGCTCAAAGAGCTCAAAGAGCTCTTGTTTTAGAAGGAACCCAGCCCAAAGCCTAGCTGGATGAGCTGGGACAACTCAGAGGCCTCACCCCAGGGCTGTGGTTTAACAAAGCTGAGTTTAATCCCCTCCATGCCTGCTGGGTTCTTGCTTTCTCCAGTCTGGGAAATCCTCCCAGCTCCAGAGCTGACCTTTCCCAACAAAGCCCCTTTGTTAGGCCGAGCTCAGGCCTGCAGGGTGCCTTTATCTTCTCTACTTATTACTCTTGATTTTTATTGATGCCACCACCAGGAGCCCTCAGAGGAGCCGCCGTTGGACTTTGTTTGGAAGGTGATTAAGAACAAACAGATCCTGGAAAGCCGAGGCAAAACCTTGAGCAAGAGGAAACTTGGCAGAGGGAAGAGCCGCGATGCCGCCGGTGCTGGAGTCCCCACACGGCAGCGAGGGAACCTCCATTGCCATGGAGTGCTGAGGCTGAGCTTTGGGAGGGGTGGATAGAAACAAGATGGGGGGTTCCCCTCAGGTGGAGCTGTTTTGGGGAGGGTTTTCCTGGTCACCCCTCCTTTCCCCATGGACAATCCCAGCAGAGGGCAGCAGGAGATGCCCTGGGCACCCTTTGCTTTCCCAGGGGTGCTGCTCCAGACTACCCACCTACGCCTGTCCCCTCCTGGTCCTCACCTTGGGACATCTGCTAAAAACTCCCAATTGTTCTGGCTTGAAAGACATGTTTTTGCGGCTGAAGGAGTTGGAACTTATTAGAGTTGAGTTAGAACTTATTACAAGCTAAGCTGGGATTCATTAAAGTTGTTGGAATTTATTAAAGAGGCATTTTTTGGCCTGTAGGAATTGGGACTTTTTAAAGTTGGGAATTAAAGAGGCATTTTGGGGACTGTAAGAGGTGGAACAAAAACACCTTTGAATCTCATCTTGCCCTCCCTGCTCTCTAGACATCTCTGGCCCTTCACCTCCTCAATGTCCTGGGTGATTTTTTGGGTGACTCTCTCCTTTCCATGAATTATGGTGCCGCCCCTCCCATGAACATTCTGGGGTCTTGGTGGAGACTGTGCGACCCCACAGGGCTCTGGAGGCAGCACTGGGGGGTGCCCAACCTGACCCAGCATTGACCCCAAGTCCTTGTGAGATGAGCCAGGGAGCCAAACACGAATTCCAAGAGCTGCTCAGGTGGAGGCCGTGTTCCTGGCCAGGGTGACAACAGGAAGGGTGGCTGTTGGCCCTTGCTGGCCTGGGAGCTGTTTCCTGGCTCCTGACGAGGGATCTCATGGCACAACAGGCTGGGCAGAAGCTGAGTAGGAGGAGGAAGGCTCTGGAGGAGGAGGGTGCTGGCACAGCCTGTGCCATGACTAATGCCAACACCCAGGCCAGGCTCTCCTCCTGGGGCACAGCTCACTCCTCTCCAGCAGCATTTCAATCCTGGAAATGCTCTGGAAATGTCAGTATTTGCAGAAATAAAGTTTCCTGGTGTGGAGCCTCGAGCTCTGTTCTGAGTGCTTTGTTCTATGTTTTTCCTTCTGACTTCTGGGTTCTGTTCTGTATTCTGGGTTCTGTTCTCTCTTCTCTCTTCTGGGTCAGCTCCTCCATGGTGCTCCGGACCTGCTCTCTGCCTGCTTGGGGCTCTCCAGAACAGCTCTGGAATTCCTCCTGGAGCAGGGAGGTGCTTCCTGGGCTGCTCAGACTTCCCAGCTGGCATTCAAGCCCCTCTGTGATGCTTTTCTCCCTCTCTGGGACTTCCTGGGTTGTTTTATCCTCGTCTTTCCAGAAAGCTCGGCAGAACTTCCAGGTGAAACCAGGCTCTGCTCTCCAGGACCTGAGGATTTAAGCAAAGCATTCAGGGATGCAAAATAGTTGGAGCTGGGAGCAGGGTGGAAGGGATGCACCCCAGATGTGGAGCTCTGTCCCTGCTCCCTCCTGGACAGAGCTGGGCCTCACCCTCTGCAAGGGGCAGAAACAAAGACGCTCCTGCATCCTGTAGAAAAATCCTTAACTGGGCCATTTCCACTGAATTTTGCTTATTTGCATACCCCTGGTTCCTTCCCCTGTCCAGAAAACCTGGGGTTCAGGGAATTGAAATCATATGGTGGAGATCTTCCTTAGTTAGACTTAAATAGACCTGAAAGCCCTCTGATGTGTAAAAAATAGGTTTCCAGACTGCAACCTGTGAAAATCATTGGGCTTGTCCTCCCTCCAGAAAAAAAATCCAATTTTTAAAGCTGAGCAGTGATTGCCTGAGGATGGAAAAGGTTCTCAGGAGTGAGGAATTATCTGTGAAATCTTTTTAGAGCAGAGCAGCTGCTCGAGGACATACTCAGGGAATAACCCTTAATTAGAGCAAAACCACCCAGGAATGATAATGAAGTGCCTTGGAGTGCTTTCACCTGGTGAGAAACATTTAAATTACGGTAAAAAAAGCTGGTAATAAAGTGTAATTCACCTTTAAGTGTAATTTCACCTTTTTTTTATACCCCAAGCGATGGTGGAGCTGTGTGGCTTAGGGAAGGATGTGGGATGGGATGCTGCTGCTGGAATGGGAGCTCCTGTTTTTAGGGAGACGCTGGAAAACCAGTGCAGCATTGCAGGTAAATCAGGTGTGAACACATGGGTTTGTACCTGGCCTTGCTGTTTCTGCTGAAATAAAGGTGAGTTTTTCTGTGAAAGATCAATTTCTGCTCAGGGAGTCAGTGGGGCACTGCTGCCTCCCAGCCTTCCAGTCTCGTTAAAAATTGGTCTGAAGAAGCTGGAATGTTAAAGAAGTAGTAAAAATAAATCCTCCATTGGTTTTTAAGTGTTGCTGTTCCATTCCTGGACAGGTGAGGACAGGTGGGAGGACCTCAGTCTTGCCCTGACCTGGGCCCTGCCCTGGCCAGGTGAGGTCACGGGGTTTGCTGGCTGCCAAAATTCAGTCTGGATTAAATTAACTTCCCTGCCTGGATCAAATCCTCAGGGCCCAGGGAAGGTGGCTGGGGATGGAGCTCTGGAGTCTGTGTTCCTGAGGGGTGCTGCTGGACTCAACTGCACCTGCCCTGCTTTGGGGTCCCACTGACCCCAAATCCCCCCAGCGGTGCCCGAGCTGGGCTCAGGGCTGGGCCCTGGATGTGCTGACACAGAGCTGGAGCCACAGGAACCTCTGATTCATCCCGGGAGGGCTCACACCCAGCCCGGGCTCCTTCCCCTGGTGTTGATCAGCTGGAAGAATGGGGAGGGTTGGGCACATCTGGGGGAGGCTGTGGTGGCCCCCAGTTCATACCAGGACTCCCCTGTCCCTGCTCTGGTGCGGGGAGGGATGGGGTTCAGAGCTCCAAAATCAGGGGGATGGCCAAGATTCTCAATTTGGAGGGCTGAATGCAGCCTCCAGGTGCATCCTCAGGGTCCTGGAGTGCTGCAGGGGTGGGAGGGGAGTGTGCAGGTTTTTGGGGGGATACTCTGCCTCAGCCCCTGAGAGGGGGTGTCTGGGATCTGGATGTGCTTTAATTTTCCTAGGGCCAGTGTTTGTTCCATCTCCCTATGGGAAGGGAACCAAATATCCTTCAAAAGGGGAAACTGAGGCATGGGGGCTCCTCACCCCATCCCTGAGGATGGTTGGGGAAGTTGCAGGGTTTAATTTCCTGGCCCTGCTGCTGACCTAAAGGGCTCTTCTATCTCCCTTCCTCCTCCTGCTTGTCGCCAGCCCCTTCTGGGGAGAACTCAGGGAGTGAAGCTGCCACTCCCTAGGCTCAGTCGGGACTGCAGGTCCAGGGGTGCCAAAATCCAGGTGAGGCTGCCCATTCCCCTTGGCCAAGGCTGCAGGACCCCCCGGGTTGGGATCGAGCTGAACCTGGATCAGGGAGCTCCCAGGGAAGAGTCTCACAGCTCCCTGGGGGTCCATGGTGGGAACAGGAGCAGCATCAGGAGGAGGGGCTGGATCTGGCGAGAGGGTGGGAGCGAGCTGGGCCAGGGTGGGTGTCCCTGTCCCGGTGTCCCTGTCCCGGTGTCCCTGTCCTGGAGCTGCTCTGGCAGAGAGTTGTGGTAGAACTGGAAGAGCAGGGCCAGAGCAGAAGGTCAGGTGAAGGTGTGGGTTTGGCACAGGTGAGGGGCTGGGGAGTTGTGGGTCACTTTTTGAGGGCACCTGTGGAGCCGTCTGGGAGAACTGGTATGGCTGGAGTCAAACCGGCTGTGTGGGAAGGGTTGGAAGCATTGGAAGGATTGCTCCTGCTCCTTCCAGACCCAGGATGGATTCCCAGCTTCCCTGCACCTGCTGCTCTTCCCCACTCCATCACAAGTGCTCACTTATCCTTCCCAGGATTAATGTTTTCCCCTCCCAACCCACCAGCCCTCACAGGATTCAGGGTCTCAGCCCTTGCTATTTCCCTGATCCTTTGGGATGAATTTGCATTCAGCTCAATTTTTTTTCCCTCCTAAACTTTGAGACTTGAGCTGATTTGCACCCAGGATTTTTTTTCTTTTAAACTTTCCTTTATTTGCAATAAATAATAAACTATAATACAAAGATCTCAACACAGAATCCAAAGTCTCGTTCTTTGGGAACAAAAAGGACTCCCAGCACCAGGAAAGGTGAAAGAGCATCTATGAGCAGCCTCTGGGCTGGGGGGCAGCTGCACCCCCCTGCCCTAAGCGGTTTTTCCCCTTTCCCCAGGGCCCCCCATACCTGGGCCAGGTGAGGTCCTGCAGGTGCCCCAGTGGGGGGTCTGGGGCCCTGCCATGGTGCAGAGCTGCACTGGGAGGGCAGGGATGGAGCCGAGGGTGCCAGGGGCCTGGCTGAGGGGCTTTGTGGCTGCGGGGAATCTGGAGAGGTTCTAGAGCTCATGCAGGGGTTCTTTACACACACACAGAGCCCTCAGCCTTCCTGCATCCCACAGGGGCCTGGCTGGGAAGGCTCTGGATGAAGAGTCTGCAGCTGCAGCTGGGTGTGGTCATTGCCTGGCTTTGGGGCACACATAAGCCCACATGTGGGGCTTCCTCCCCTTCCTCGGCTTGGCTTTTCCAGCTGCTCTTATGGCGGGGTCAGCTCCATGGACTTCTTCCTCTCCTCCCGCTGCTCTTCCCACTCCTCCTCGGACTCGTAGGTGCCCTTGATGATGGCCACCCTGTCAGACATGTTCATGCAGTAGGGGACCAGGATGTAGAAGTAGAGCAGGGAGGCCAAGCAAGCCCCAAGGATGGGCCCGACCCAGAACACCTGGAAAGCAACAGGGACACAGTGAGAGCAGCTCCTGGGGCTGGTGCTCCATCTCGACTCATGGCACCACCATCCATCCCTGTTCCACATGTCCTGCCACACAGAGAGAAGAAAATACCTGTTCCAGGGACTTCCCGGGCTGAAACCCTCTCAGCTGTGCTTGCTGAGGGCCAAACCTGCTCTGTAAGTCTGGGGCTGAGCTTGTAGGAAGTGCTGGATGAGAGGAACGACCAAGCTGGGCTTCTCCGTGGGCTTCCTTCCCCTCAGATGATGCACCAATGGTGCTCAGAGGCTACCATGGCCTGGAAGTGTCCAAGGCTGGGTTGGATGGCTCTTGGAGCAACCTGGGCTAGTGGAAGGTGTTCCTACCCATGGCATGGGGTGGGACTAGATGAGCTTTTAGTCATTCCCACCCAAACTACCCTGGGATGGGTTAATTTCTGTCCCCTGGCTGGCTCCGTGCCAGGGGATTAACTCTTCCTGATGCGTCAAGGGACAAAACCTCTCTCATTCTCCAGCCCCTTTTAATCCTTCCTGCCTGGGATGGGCTCTGAAACCCCCACCCCTGTCATTCCCAAGGCAGTCCATGCCCTGTCCTCACATGGACCCCACCTGTCCTTGTCCCCAGTGCCACCAAGACTTACCCAGTGCGCGGAGCTGAACCTCCTGGTGACGACTGCAGGCCCAAAGGAGCGCGCAGGGTTCATGGAGCAGCCGGTGAAGTAAATCTGGAGGTGTGGAAAGAACCCTGGGTTAAGGACCAGATCAGACCCACTCTTTGGGAACAGGGACTGAAGTGGCCCCTGAGGTGTCTCTTTTTCAGAGAGCTGGAGATGACCCCTCACCACAAAAGAGCCCCAAGATCTCCTGTGTTTTCTCCTCCAGAGCAGCTCCCTCAGGACCAACTGCATGAGGGCATTTTGGGAAGTTCTGTGCTCACAGGACCCTCACCCTGGACTCACCCCCACCAGGTGGCCCAGGGTGACGGAGAGGCCAATGGACAGCGCCGGGGAGCCAACGCCGCTGCGCCGGTTGTCCGTGGACGCAAAGATGCAGGCGGCCAGCTGGAAGGTGAGGATGATCTCCACCACGAGGGCCTGGCCTGGAGTTATGTTGCTGTTGAGCTGGAACCATGAGAGTGACAATAATTAACCCTCTCCAGGGCTTGGCGTCACCAGGAGGGCTCCCGGGTACTTTGCTGGTAGATTTGGGATGGTGATGTTGGATTGGAAACCCGTCAGAGCCCCTGCCCAGCCCCTGCTTGAGCTGCCTGCTCCTTCTTTGAAAGGAAAGAAATGAT